ACACTTGTTCTATTGCTTCCAAATTTGGTTGGATGCAATAATTGCACTCTTCTTTCCAACCAACTCAGTCTGTCTGAGGTAGGAGGATATCTGTTCTCTCTGTCCCAAGCAGCTTCCCAGGGAAGCAGGGCTGTGCTCCTGTCCAACTTGTGCAGTTGGCCTGAAGAGTATGATCTGAAGGTTGCTTGAATCAGAATTCCTTGACGTGATTATGATAATGCAGATGATTGACCATCTTGCAGATCTATGGAATCATAATCTCTGTGATATTAACAGGTTCCCCAAACGATGAGGGCTGTTAGTCTCAAGACTTTATTGGGGTTGGAAAAAGTGATGAGTTTAAGCTGGGGAAAGAGTGATTTCCTGCTCCTGCTGCAACACTTCCTAGCTGGGTAATTTTTTCAGGTTGTCCCTTGAGAGGAGGAAATGTGTCATTTATTTTTATCTCTATTCAGCACCTAGGACATAGGTAGTTCTTAACTAGTGTTGAGTGAATGAATGCTTGCATGAGCGAAGACCTTCATCAACACTGCACGTGTGGAATGAGAGAGAGCTCAGGGAAAACACCTGCCGGGTGTCCTACACATGGTAGGTGCCCATCAAATGTCCTTCTCTTCCACTCCCTTTAAGAGTGTGGCTTGTCATCGGTGCGTAACTTGAGTTGGGATACCACAGAAATGTGGACAAGATGACAGGTGCACAGAGACCTTTCTGACACCCTAAGCTGATAGGTTCTTTCAGGAAAATCCATACATGCCTTTTTATTCTGCTCCCCATGGTTGTCTTTTCTTGTCCTGGGAGTTGCCAAACCCAAAAAGGTCAGCTGAGACCAATCACAGAGGAGAGGGCTATGGCTGCCAGTGTGCCACTAGGGGGTTGGGAGGCCACCTGGATATGCCAAGTCTGTGTCCAAAGGTGGAAGAGCATTGTGGCTGTCATCAGCAGCTAAGGGTAGGGGATATAGATGGTTATGTTGGGGATTTGGGGTCTTGGACATGAATAAATGAATCCTGATCTTAACATCTGATATTATTGGGAAAAGTAGCTGATTTCTCCTAGACTCGATGTTTTTATCTATGAAAGGGTCATAAAGAACCTCCTCTATCTACTCTTAGCATTCTTGTGAGAATCAAAGAAGGTAATGATATAATTATTGTCTCTCTATACAGACCATACGGTGATGCTTTCTGCTCAAAGTGTGGTCCCCCGACCAGTGGTGTAGGCTCCCCCAGGAGCTTCTTATAAATGCAGAATCTCAGGCTCCCCCAGAGTTACTGAATCAGAGTCTCATTTTCACATAATCCCTAGGTGATTTCAAGTGCACATTAATGTTTGAGAAGCAAAGACTAAACAATTAAAAGGAATTTTTACTTCTCCAAACACTTTATTTTCCCCTAGAGAGCTCCTGCAGAGAAAAGGAATGTGTTTATTTATCTCTGTTTAATACCTAGAATGTAATTGACCCTTAACTAGTGTTGAATGACTAAATGACTAAATGAATGAATGAATGATCTCACTCTCAGTCACTGCTTGGAGCTTTTTACAGAATATTTCTCCTGCCATAATAGCAGGATGTGTACATGGCGAGCACAGCTGCCTCCCAGCCAGCTGATGCCAACCACAGATGCAGGCATTTAGTGTGTGATTAAGGACAGAGTAATCCACTTAATGTGGGTTGTGGGAGATATTTGGCAAGAACCAAGGGACAGGGATTGGATTTTAGTTTCCAGAGATAATGTCTTCCCCAATAATTTAAAGCCCTCCATAACTTGGGTCACACCCAGACAGAAATCAGCCCTCTTAAGACTGAATTGTGTAAACAAGACTCTTTCTCACTTTTCCAGCAGAATCTTGACTGTAATAGACTCTGTTCAGGTGTTTATGTAACATTGGGGAGAGGTGAGGGCTTGTCCAGCTGGATCTTTGTGGAGCTGAGACCAACTGAACTTGACAGCTATAAAGGAGAAATGGTTTTTGTTTACTAGATTTTACCACCAGCTAAGTTAATTAAAGAATTAATCTATCCCATCATTCAACAAATACTACAGAGCTTGCCTTGGGGTTACCATAGTGAGCACACTAGCAGTCCCTGCTTCCAGCAAGTAATTGCCAGCTGGTGAGGACGGAATATGAATCAAGCAATTACAGGGAGGCTTGAGGAAGTACAGGCTGATACGGGAGAGCGTGGCAGGCAAACCTGGTGAGGGTGGAGGGGGTGGAGAGACAGTTCCTGTGGGAAGTGACCTTTAGGCTGATACCCAAAGGATTAGGAGGAGTGGAGCCATTGGGATAGGAAGGAGGAAATGAAGCTGGTACAAAGAACAGCAGGGTTCAAGGCCTAGAAGCAAGAGAGAGTATGTCTCTCGATGGAAGTAAAGCAGTAAATGTGCTGGTTGGCTGGAGAGACTGTGTGTGGGCTGTGTGTGGGTCTGCATGTGAGGTGTGTTGTATATTGAGACATGGGACCCCACAGGGAACTGTGAATCCTTCTAAGAAATTTCCACTTTATCCCCAGGTCAGTTGAGGAAATCTTTGAAAGTGGGTCTGCTACAGTTTCCAGTTCTCCCCTAATGGACCGCTGGGCTCCTGTATCACCGTGGCAATGTGAAGAGATTTGTCTCTGGTCTGCATGCCTCACCCTGGCCTCCTGTGACTCCTGATCTGAACCTGGTGCTTGCTTCTTGCTTTGCATCCTTTTATTCTCACCACAGGAGGTCCTAAGTGTTGCCTTATGCATACACTCCCTCACAGAACAGTATTTCTCTACCAGGACTTCATTAGTTCAACACTCCCGGTGGCTCTGCTTCCTGTCTAATATGAGGGCCTTCTCTCTGTGGTCTCTTTTTCCGAGTTCCCCCTGCCTGGCAGGTCAAATAAAGCCCTGGCAGCTGTGGGGCTGAGCTGAAAACAGCTGCCCTGCGGGGCCTCAGCAGCAGCAGCACCGTGCCCACTGCCCTGGCAGCAGAAAGTCAAGTCGTTTCTGTGCAATCAGTTTATGCCCATCAGTGTACCAGCCCCATTTACAATGTGCCTTCATTGCCAAGGTTCTTACTATGAGCTGTCAGCATCGGAAGTTTTTGAGAGTCAGGGCAGCCAGAACACAGGATTGAGGATCAGAAGAGATGGCCTGACTTGTGGCCCCTTTCTACCCTCATTCTGTATTGGGATGAGTCCCCTGAATCTTGGTTTCCACAGCTATAAACAGGGACAAACCAGGGCACTTGCCCAGCCTATTCTCCAGTGAGATCAAACAAAATCCTGGGAAGTGCTCGTAAAATTCTATGAAAGAGTTGGCTTTCATTGATCCTGTGGGCATCCCTGGCTTCCTCCCTGGCCTCTCCACCCCTTTCTGGTGCAGCCCAAGGTAGCTAGGACCCAGGAGTTAGTTGTGCATTTCTTGCCTTCCACAACTAATCACTGCCTTCTTGTCTGAGGCTTTCAGATCACGTTTCAATTTAGCACGACTCCTGCACTGTATCACTTAATGCCCAACCCAAGTAGAAACTAGTCCTCCAAATGTAAACATTGTTTTAGGTCATAATTGTCGAGACCAAATAATTTTTGGTGACATAGCCCACTTTGAAACATTTTCTTTCTGGCAGACCTATGGCATACACCACCAATTTGCTCCCCTGGTATGTAATTATCTCCCCAAGGTATTTTTTTGAAATATTAATGGACCAACATTAATTTCCAGTTCATTTTAGAGCTCCTGTTTTCCTCTAATTTTTCCCCCCCTCTGGAATCTTTAAAAATAGATAGATAGATGATAGATCAAACAAAAGAGCGAGTGATTGTCCCTCTTCAAACAACTGCCCTCCAAAGTCCAAAACACTATGGACACAGACAACAGGGGGGTGAGGGCATGATTTGGGGAGGTTGGGGGGGGGGTTATGGTGGGATAAGGACACATATGTAATACCTTAATCAATAGAGAAATTTTTTAAAAAGTCCAAAACACTGACATCACAGCACAAAAGGAAGATAAAGGTTCAAAATATAGTGTTGAAAATGAAATTTAGAGGTTTTCAAAAACTCAATGCATCTTATCCTCATAGTCTCCTTTTATGTCCATTATATGTGGTGGGAATTCCTCTCTTGTAGATAAGGGACCATATTAGAATATCTAGACATTTAGTTATTCATTTATTAAATATATTTTTTATTTATTTCAGAGAGGAAGGGAGAGGGAGAGAGAGATAGAAACATGATGAGAGGGACTCATTGATCAGCTACCTACTGCACACCACCTACTGGGGATAGAGCTCGCAACCGGGCATGTGCCCTGACAGGGAATCAAACATGGGACCCTTCAGTCTGCAGGCTGAAGTTCTATCCATTGAGCCAAACCAGCTAGGGCAGAATCTCTAGACATTTATATGTAGGTCAACCTGAAGACAGCATAAAGGATCCATTGGAAAAGATAGGGCCCTCACTGATCGTGCACTCCCTAAAACCTTGTCCAAACAGCTTCCCCTCTCCCATCACATGTAGATGGAGCTTCTTTCTCTTTGCTTCCAAGTGTTACTCATTTCTTTTCTCCCCATTTCCCACTTATTATTCTTTTGTAGTTTTCTTATCTATCTCCCTAAGTAGACCACGAGCTCCCTGAAGTCAGAGGCTGGGTCTCATTCACCTTGGCACACTTATGACTAACTTCTAGATCAGTGGTTCTCAACCTTCCTAATGCCACGACCCTTTAATACAGTTCCTCATGTTGTGGTGACCCCCAACCATAAAATTATTTTTTGTTGCTACTTCATAACTGTAATTTTGCTACTGTAAACAATATGTAATTATATATGTGTTTTCCGATGGTCTTAGGCGACCCCTGTGAAAGGGTCGTTCGACCCCCAAAGGGGTCGTGACCCACAGGTTGAGAACCACTGTTCTAGATAGAGGCACTGTTTCATGGTCACCCAGGGCCCCCACTTCAGCCGCTCATTCACCCTTGTCCAGGTGAGTGCTACAGACTCCCAAATGGATTTTTCTGACTTTAGTTTACCAGATGTCTACACCATCCTTTCCATGGGAGCCAGAGAAGTTTTTAAGATCTACATCACATCAATCCTTCCCTGCTGAAACCCTTCGATGACCACTCAAGTCCTCTGGGTGAGCCCAGACTTTCTCTTGGCTCAGGGGCCCCTTCATCACCAGGACCTGGCTTAGTTCTCTAATCTCATCTCCTTTCTCCCCTCACAGCCAAAACTCCAGCCAGCGAGTGAACCATGACAATTCCTTTAGCCATAACCAGTTTGGCTCAGTGGATAGAGCGTCTGCCTGCGGACTGAAGGGTCCCAGGTTTGATTCCGGTCAAGGGCATGTACCTTGGTTGCGGGCACATCCCCAGTAGGAGGTGTGCAGGAGGCAGCTGATCGATGTTTCTCTCTCATTGATGTTTCTAACTCTCTATCTCTCTCCCTTCCTCTTTGTAAAAAATCAATAAAATATATTTTAAAAAAAGAAAATTCCTTTAATGCACTCAACTGACATTTATTGAGCAGTTGCTATGCCAGCTACTTTCTGGTCACTCAGTCTGCATTCTTAATAAGCCACATACCCCACATGATGGTTTTTATTATCCCCATTTACAGACGAGAAAACTGAGACTTGGAAAGAAGAGAAGGCATGTTCTAGGGAAGATAGTTAGCTAAAGGAACTTCAAGGGTTATCACCAGGCCTGTGACTCCTAGGCCTGAGATTCTATCCCCCACATTATGTGGAAGAAGATGCTATAGGTTTAGAATGATATATATGTAAACCAAAAACCATGGTAACCACAAACCAAAAACCTCCAAAAGATACACAGAAAAAATACATAGAAAGGAACCCAGCACTTTCAATGGCAAGAGTCCAAGGAGGCTTCACCAGGCAGTGGAATTGGGACTAAATTTCAGTGGATAAAAGGGATTTGTCCAGGTAGAGAGAGAGAGAAAGGCTCTGCCGTGCAGGTGAAATGCCAGAGTTGGGCTAGCAGAGGGGAAGCCCCAGTACATCAGAGGGGAAGGGAAGGGATCCCTTTGGCTGAAGCAGAGTCTGGGGAGGGGGCAGGGGATTGTGGGAAGGGCCTATTGCCTTCAGGGAGCCCAGTTGCAGTGCAGGGCCCAGATGCTGGGGCTGAGTCTCTGGGATAGTCTGAGAGATGCGGATCCCCTTCCAGCAAATGGGTAGGTGGTCTGAGTCCAGTGCTGTTTGGGAGAAAAAGTAGAAAATTCAGGGTGTGTGGGACAGGGGAGGGAGCTGGTTGGAACGCCTGGTAAGAATGCTATTGCAGCAGTCCTGACCAGAGACCAGACAGGTGGCTTTTCTCTTGCTTAGTAAAGTGCTGATCCCACAGGCATTTAAAGCCACCTTGGGCTATAATTTGCTTTTTGATGATCCTGCTGATCCTGTTGCTATTGATGTCTAGGGACCTCAGAGACACTTTAGAGTCACCCCCTGGGTGGCCAGAAGCCTGTAATTGGCACTTACAGGGCCCTCCCCAGGGCCAGGCCAGGCCCTGCCCCCTGCCCCATTGGTGGGAGAGCTTCAGGCAACTCCTCCAGCAGCCTCCTGGTTTTTTATCTAGGGTTGCTTGTCATAGTGTGGGCTCATCCTCCCAATCAAACAGGAGTTTTAGCATAGAAATACTCTTTCAGGACATTCAGGTGCCAACCATGTGGTCACGTGCAAAGTACTGTGTATATACTGAAGTCAGATCCTGCTCATCACCACCCTCCCCTTGAAACACGCAAGCAAGGGCCACTAAACACTGCTTCTGCCGTGTGAAGCAGTGCGCCCGTGTAATAAAGACCTAATTTGAGAGCGAGGGGAAGAGATAGGTGCATCTGACCAGCATCCTGGCCAAAGCACAGGTGAGTCAGGTTACACAGAAAGCCCTCACTGGGCTGATTCGGGATCCACCTGCTCTTTAGGCCCAGCCCACTGGGCCTCAACCTGTTCAACAGAAGCCAGAGGCCTCCAGAGACTCCAGCCAGAATGGAAAGGAATTAGAGCCTCCCAGATGAGGATTCCATCAAAGCAGACTTTAGTGAGAGCACAGAGCCAACACATAGTAGGACTTAAGTGCATCTAATCAAAACAAGTCTGAGAAAACTCTGTTTTGTTTTTTTTAATATTCACTCATTCATTCATTCATTTATTCGCTATGTGGGTTTACTTGATTGTTGAATGAGACAGGTTTTCAGGTTCTTGTGGGGAGGAAATGTATCTCGTTCATCCATGTATCATCAGGGGGCCTCTAACATCTCTCTTGAAATTTCTTACATGGACATTTTTGCCTAATCATCTGAGCATGTATATATATGAATATACTAGAGGCCCAGCGCATGAAATAGCATGAGACCCAGACCTGCTGTGCTAACAGGACCCCAGACCCACCCTACATGAGACGTGGGCCCCACCTCTGCTACATGAACCGTGGGCCCCGCCTCCGCCATGCCAGCCCCACTAGCCCCCTATCAGCCCCACCTCGCCACATGAGCCGCGATTCCCGGCCCACAAGAGGTGCTCCATTCCCCTCCTGGTGACCAGTTGTTTGGTCGTTATGGTGTCACGACCACAGGCCTTTTATGATATAGATATCTGGATGTTATACATACACTGGAAGAATTCATATCAAGCCCATCAGTGACCACTTCTGGGGAGCAGGATGAGAAGTGGGGGTGCTATTTCAGGACCAGTGATAAGGGCTGTCTGTTACTGCACTGTACAATTCCCAGGGGACTAGTCATTGAGATGTGAATCTCTACTTCACAAATTTAAACAAAAAGTATAAAAACAGAAAAATTATGACACCATATGTGATTTTGACTTTCTTTTCAGGGTTTTTCTTTATTTTTCCAAAGTGTCCAAAATGGATGGCCATCTATAGTAATAAAAGTGTAATATGCTAATTAAACCAGATGTCTTTCTGGACAAAGCGGGGCTGTGAGGGAAGCCCGGGTCCCGGGTGCCTGCCAGCAGGTGGAGGGAAGCTCAGGTCCCAGATGCCTGCCAGTGTCCGGAAGGAAGCCTGGGTCCTGGGTGCCAGAGGGAAGCCGGTGCTGGCAGCCAGGGGAAGGAAGGCCTACTCTTGCACAAATTTTGTGCATCGGGCCTCTAGTCTATGTATATAAAACTGTGTAATATGCAAATGGACTGGACGGCAGAATGACCAGTCACTATGATGCACAGTGACCACCAGGGGGCAGATGCTCAATTTAGGAGCTGCCCCAGCCCACAGGCCCTGATTACTCGATGGGGGGGGGGGGAGGGGGGCTGCTGGCCAACTTCTTGTTCCCTCCCCCTGGCTGGCAGGCTCCAATCGCCTGATGGGGAACTGGGAACCGGGGTGGGTGGCAGCAGATGAGGGAGGTAGGGGGCAGGGCCAGGTGCTGGTAGCTGAGGAAGATGTCCCTGATCGAAGGCCAGGCCTAAGGTCCCTACCCATGCACGAATTTCGTGTGCCATGCCTCTAGTATTTTTTATATTTAAAAATGGTTAGAACTAATGAGTTGCAGAAATTTTAAGAAATATTAAAAGTATTAGGAGAAAATAAAAATCACTCGCATTTTACCAACCAGAAAAAAACTACAATTAACATTTTACTTCATAAAGTTTGTTTTATAGTTTTTAATCTTAACATGGCATTTGTTCTTTGAATGATTGTGCGTCATACAAAAAAGAAAGTAAAAATCGCTTCTGACATACCACCCAGGGATGAACTGCTGTTAGTTTCTGTGCATTTTCTTCCTGTCCTTTTCTGTATTAATTACAATCAGAACTCCCATTTGGTAAGTACTTAGTTTGAGCCAGGCAATGTGCTCAGTGCTTGCAGACATCATCTCATTTAATTTCCACATGAGCCAGAGGTGGGGTTGCCAGCCACATCTTATAGCAAATACAAACCACAGGCTGAGAAGCTTGGATCCATAACAACTTGAACCCGGCATTGACTAACTCCAAAGCTTTCTTAGCGATTCTGTATACTCCTTCCAAGTCATGTGTGCATTAGGTGCACACACACCCTCTACATGCACATGTGCACACAGACACAAGTGCACAGACATGCACACACACAAGCTGTGATGACATCGTGTCTTCCGTTTTGCCTGTTTTATTTTTTTACTTAATATTATATGGCGAGCATGTCATGATGTCATATAAACACTTTTAGAAAGCAGTTTGATACACTTGGATTTCTTTTAAGTTAAATTTTAAGCAAATCAGTTTTTTTATGGATTTGAGGCCATTTATTTCTTTGTATACAAAACACATTCAGTTTTACTTCTCTATCCAGACTAGACTATACTTTCAAAGACCTTGGAGTCTTGCTTCAGTTATACTAGTCTCCAGGTTCATGTCTTTCTTTTTTTTAATCCTCACCTGAGGATATTTTTTCCATTGATTTTTTTAAGAGAGAGTGGAGGAGAGTAAAGGAGGGGAGTAAGAGAGAGAGAGAGAGAGAAGGGAATAAACTCGCAACCCAGGTACATGTCCCTGACTGGGAATCGAACCCGAGACCCTGCAGTCCACAGGCCGATGCTCTTAACTACTGAGAAAAACAGGCCAGGGTCGTTTTCTTTTTTCATAAAACATTATTGCAGGTGCCCCCCTTTCTCCGCCTTTGCCCACCTCCACCCAGCCCTGCCTCCCCCTCCCTTGGCCTTCATAGCAAATCCTTCTTGAAGCTCTAACCTCTATAGATAACTGGACTTTGTGATCAGGTCCCCAGACCTACTACAGAACCAGTCCTTATGGTCTTGTCCCTGGCTTCTTGTCCCTGGCTTTTTCCTCATCTGTCTCTGTTTCCTCCTCAAGCTGAGAGCAGGGTCTGTGACCACTGGACTGTTCAGTGTCAAATGTCTGCATTTCATGACTGGACCTCCTGGGAGCGTGGCTTCATGGTTTCAGAGCCCTTCTCTCACTTGTGTGAGTTTCATGTGTTCCGTGAATAACTCCTCATGGCATTTTTCAAATTAAGAAATTGATAGACAGGATAAGAAATCGGGATACTGGGAATGCAGAATCTGCAACAAGAATTCGGGCACAAAGCACCAAACTTTTAGTTGGATACAAACTGTTCACATCTACTAGTAAAATAGAACAGATAAAATAGATAAATAGATAAATTAAGTGGAACAGATCACCGTGGCCTCCTCAGTTCCAACATGAAAATGATGCGTACTGGGAACTCCCAGGGGGACACAGAGGATGTAGGAATCCTTGAACCTACACCACGGAGAACCTATTAGGAAAGAAGAGGCAGCTTTCTCAGCTGACTGGTGTTCTGCAATA